ACACAAGCCATTAATAGTTCCTGGAGCTGTTTGAATGGTAATGGCACATGCGTCCTGCTATGTTTCCCTAGTCACTCTCTCTGATCCAAGGAAACCTGTAAATTCCTTATCTCCTGTAAGTAATTTCGCTAAAATTTCCAATTCTCTTAGCTCTTGCTGAACATTACCGTTGAGTATTTGCCTTTCTGTATTTCCAGCTTAAAATGAAGGAGGTGAAGACTCTCCATCTTGGTACTTATTAACTGTTACTCCCTGCTGATCCCAATCATTGGTCCTGTATATTCTTTATTATCCAGCTGCCCCTAAGTAGGTTGAATTTTACCATTGAACATTTGCCTTTCTGTATTTCCAGTTTCAAATGAAGGAGGTAAAGACTCTCCATCTTGGTACTTATTAACTGTTTCTCCCTGCTGATCCCAATCATTTGTTTTGTATATTCTTTACCATCCAGCCACCCCTAAGTAGGCGCGGACTTTTCTGTTCTCCATAACATTCCTAGATATCTCCTGAGGGCCTGTGTGTATGTGAGGCCTCACCTATGTCTTCCCAAGCCCGTGAGAAACTCGAAATGCTTCATCATGGTAGTGGTTTTTGTGAGCGGAAAGGATCCTTTTAAAACTTTTAAACTCTAAAATCTCCTGTACTTGCATTTTTCATTCCGGAGTTTAACATATTACATTTTACTACTTTATCACCTGACTGAACATTTCAGTCTCACACCTACTCTGTGCATTTTCTCTTACTTTAAGGGTTAAATAACCCATTTCACCTATTTTCATCAGCTGCTGGCTGACATTCTCTCATTTGCCCATCTTCCATCACTTTAAGGGTTAAATAACCCGCTTTACCTTTTTTGTCAGCTGCTGGCTGACATCTTCGTCTTATATATATTTTGTGCACATTTCTGCTTTAAGGGTTAAATAACCTGATTTATCTTTTTTTGTCAGCTGCTGGCTGACGTCTTTCTATTTTATATTACATATATCTGTTTCCTATTTCTACAATTATCTACAGTTTTATTCCTGACTTAATGCTGTTCACTCACCACATTCGGCCACTTCTTTCTTCTTTTTCCTGC